AGGGAGACAATGTTGAGCTACTCAAAAAGGGCTACATAATACAAGGTCATGAATATACTGGTATGTCTGATGCTAGCAAGAAGCTTTCTCTGCCGCCACCGATCTCTCGGAGCTGACAAACTGGGGGCCCCATTTGAAGAAGAGTGGAGCTATCCAGCTGCGTTGGGATGCTTCTTTATATTTGCGCGAACACTCGCCCAGACATCACATTAGTGTGCACAAGGTGGCACGATTCAGTCACAATCCCAGGATTCCCATGCTCAAGCATCAAACGTATCATTCGGTATCTGATCGGCACAAGTGACAAAGGCATTTGTTTTAGCCCTAACTTGATCAGGGACTTGACTGTTGGGTCGATGCTGACTTCGCCGGATTGTATGGATATGGGATGAACAGGATCCTGTGTCCGGTCAAGTCTCGACTGGATTTGTCCTGACTCTGTTTGGGTGCCCTATTATCTGGTCCAGCAAGCTACAGACTGATATTACCCTGAGCTCCACTGCTGCTGAGTATGTTGCCTTCAGCATGTCAATGAGGGAGCTGCTTCCTATGCGAGCTTTGCTCAAAGAAATTGGTAGCAAACTGAATATGCCGGTAATTACTGACAGTCTCGTGCGCTCTACAGTGTTCGAAGACAACCAAGTTGCTTGTCTCTTGTGAATGTTCCCAAGATGTCTGCGCGCAACAAGTATTTGGCATTGAAGTACCACTTTTTCAGGTCCAATATCGGGGAGTCGAAGGGCATCGTGGCTAAGTATATTCCGACTCTGGAACAACGGGCCGACATTTTCACTAAGGGTTCTTCCGGCTCCACAGTTTGCTGTCATTCGGAAGCTCCTCATGGGATGGTAATTTACCTCAGCACTTTGCTGGGGACTCTCTCCTATCGTTTCTTGCTCCGCTTCATTTCAGCTGTAAGGGAGTGCGACGGGATACAGCTTACAATTCAGCTTTACAGCTTTACAATTAGCAGGCTTATTCTAGAAATAATCAGTAACTGCTCATGCTCACTTATTTGGAAATACAAACTTTACATCTCTTAGATCGTTAGATTAATCAATGCACAATGGTATTGTCGCACTCAATACAAAGGAAAACCCCAACTGGTAGCCATCCCGATGTCTTCTACTATGGGGTGGGTCCAATCCCCTCCCACATTCAGCGGAATGTCTGAAACAGCCTGCGACCGCGGCAACACGCGCTTCTCGCACTCACCGCGTGCCTGTCCACCGCACCGTCTCGAAGAACCGGTGTCTCGCCAGGACGACTTGGACCCTTCCATGACACCACGACCCCGCGACGCCAAGGATGAGTCCGCCACTCAGGCCCTTCTCAACATCGCCACCAAACCTCTCGATTCCCCCGCTGACAACGACATAGTGGAAGTCTCCAACCGAGTCTACAACCGTCCCCTAGGTCGCAACGATGTCTTTGTCGACGACTTCATTCAACTCGGACAAGGAGGGTGCAACCGCATGAACGTCCTTCGTCGCCACCTTCTCCACGCCATTGACGAGATTCTGGTGCGGCCCAACCTAGACGAAAAATACCGAAATGAAGCTGTCTTCTTGAAGAAACTCCTAAAGGGTGACGGCAGTTGGGCCACCCGAAACTCATCCTAGGCTGAATCATCGACACCCTACGACAGACACTCGAACTACCTCCCCATCGCAAGGAGGCTCTTGCGGTCATCTTCCAAGAGTTAGCTGCCTGCAAGCGGGTCAGTAACAAACGATGGATGCAAATCCTGGGGAAACAGCGCTTTGTCTCGGTAGCCATCCGGGGTTCCGCTGGGCTATTCAGCGCGCTACAACTCGCCCTCTCCAAAGCGAATGGAAACCGCATCCGGATCACCTCCGCTCTCCGACATCACATTGATGCCTTCGCCAACCTGGCGGCTAGCCTCTGCCACAGGCCCACTCACCTCGCCGAGATTGTGCCACAGGACCCCACCTACTTCGGGGCCACTGACGCCGCCAAGGCTGGGATGGGTGGGGTCTATTTCGACTCCACCGGCCAAGGATACTTTTGGCGGGAGCCCTTCCCGGACGACATCCAACAAGACCTGGTCTCGGCCTCGAACCTCTTGGGCTCTATCACCAACAGCGATCCTAGCTCAACAGGCCCTCCTCGCCGAGCGTCACGACGTCCGCTACGCCATTCTCTACACTCTGTCCGACAACACCCCGGCTGTCTCGTGAGTTGCGAAATGTGCCGTATCCTCCGACAGACCTGCTGCCTTCCTCTGCAACTACGCCTGTCTCCACCAACGCAAGCATCGCTACTGTCCCCTCTCGTCCTACATTCCAGGACCAGCTAACGTCATGGCAGACGACACGTCTCGCCTACAACACCTCACCATGCCTGAACTCTTGTCCCACTTTGAGCAGCACTATCCGCAGCAGCTACCTTGGAAGGGGTTGATGCTGCCACCAGACGTCGTTTCCAGACTACTCTCCGCGCTTCGCTGCAAGTCGCCTCCAAAAGTGTCGTCACCAAGACCGCCCAGGCCCGAAACCGCACCTTCGGATGCTGGTGCGCCTTCTGTGATCTCCACAACGTCCGTGAAACCCTCTGTGATATCGCTGAGCCCGAGGTCCACGTCTGCTACCTCCTCACCTTCGCCCACAACTACCGCGTGTCGAACTCTGTCCGAGCTGACACAGTTGTCAAAGCCCTTCACGCCGTCCGCGAGGGGATATCCAACCTGGGTCAACCAGATCCCCGACTCGGCTCCGATGGAAAGCTCCATCCCTTACTCACTAATTACTACAAAGGACTCCAAGATGGCGATGGACCCCCGACTGGCCTATCCTGCCAACATCTCCATCCTCCGCGAAATGCTCTCTGTCCTGGACTACGTCCACCCCATCCATGGTACCATCAACCAACACACTCGGGACCTCTGCATCTGCACCTTCTTCTGGCTTCTCCGCTTGGCCGAGTACCTCGACACGAGCAACCCTGAGGCCCGAAGCCAGGCCTTTCTCCTTTCTGACATCACCTTCACCATCGCTGGTCGCTTCAAAGTCACCGCTGACAAGATCTCTTTGAATGACGTGTCTGACCCCAGTCGTCTCACCGCGGCATCACTGACATTTACTGATCAAAAGAACGTCGTCAAAGGCAAGTCCGTGGGTCACCAGGCCACCGCTGACCCCTGGCTCTGTCCTGTCAAATCTCTCGCCCGTCTTGTCCGACACATCCGCACTGCACACATCGCCCTCGCCACTCCAGAGGCTGAGCGCTCCAAAACTCCGCTCTACAAACACTACAACTCCGTCCACAAGAAGTGGTACCACGTCAAACCCCAGTTCATCACCGATGCCCTTCGTGCTGCCACCAAGCGGCTCAAACGGACCACTGGAACCCCCCACGAGAAAGTCTCCGCTCGCTCCCTCCGTCCGGGTGGCGCCACTGCACTCCTCTGCGCCCATGTTGACTCTGATGCCATCCGCCTCCTCGGTCGATGAAAGTCAGACGCCATGCTGCGCTATCTTCACATCCAGACCGCCACCATTATGCACCACTACTCCCAGAAAATGCTGGCTCATGGTGCCTACACCTTCCAGGTGGGAACCTACAACAAGTTCCTCTCGCCTACCCAGGCGCCTGCTACTATCGCAGAGATCCTCTTCCACGCGGAACTCTACGAGGACTAACCTACCTTAGTCCAAAAACTCCCGAGAGACCATGCCTACTCTAGATCTCTCTCAACCTTTTCCCACCCCGCTACGCTCCCACCCTGTTCTTCCTTTGGCTATTGGGTTGGCCGAATGTCGCACAATCACGCGGGACTCCAATCCCACGGGACTGCCTCATTCGTGCCTTGGTTCCCGCTCGCGATTCTAGCAATCACGAGCGGCACCCCTGGGTTGCGGAGACGGTCGGCTCAGTAAATGGCCGAGTCTCTCCACCACCCTAACCTACTACTCTACTCAACTAGTCGTGCAGTGCTGCTCTAGGCGAGCGCCGCTTGTCGGCGCTCGTCGAACTCTGCAGTTCTGAAAGTCGGCATGGCTTTTTCTGCCGGGATGTGTTTTTTCTCTGCCGGGAGGGTGTTTTTCTCTGGCAGATGACTTTTTTTCTGCCAAAAGCACCTGAAAACTGCACAGAATGGCTCACAGAGTGGATTCATTGTTTGGCAGGAGGATTTTCTAGAGCAATTATTGTTTGCAGCTTGACAATTACTTAGAGATGGATACCAGGCAGGCGTGACGAAACCAGTAGCAGGTGTTTTTTTTTTGAAATCTCAACGCTGCCATGACATCATCTACATTTTATGCCATGGCACAATTTGGACCTAAGCCCTAACGTCTCTCCTGCAAAACGAGAACCGCCATTAACTGTCTCATTAACCCAAACTCTAAAATGAGAACCCTATTATGATCTCGAGGAAGACATTATCTCACACTCTAAATCAAATCGAATTCGAACTTATTCGAATAAAATCGACTCAGTCCCACCAACACCAGCATGTTTCAAAAGCATGAGTCACAGTGATGACGTGGACCCTGTTGACTTCGAAGAACATCCTGTCAGGTTCAACTCCCACAAGGAACTGGGAATGAAAGAACTGCCCAAGAGAGTCATGCTATCATTCACACATCTATAAAACCGTTGCAAAAACAGAGCAGTTGAGGGGGGGTTGGGGATAAAAATAGAGGATTCTATGGGAATTTTAATACTATTTGTGGAAAGAATCGTAGGTTGGGTAATATTTAAGGGTCAATAGTGGGGTAAATACCTAGTTTTCTAGGACTTTTGGGGTAGAATGGAGATGGAGCGGGGGGATGGGAAAAAACAGAGTTACCAAAGGGGCTACAGGATCCAAATCATCTTCACAAATAAAAGAAGGGTTTGACGGGGTGGGGGCTGTAGTATCAATGGCCTGGAATAGCTCGAACATGCTTTCGAATCCAAGGACGGCCACTTTTTTGAAATTTCGCTTGCCTCCGACTTCAAGGTCGCCCACAGTTGTGGGTCATTGAAAAGGTCAGTCAACTGGGAACAAGCAAAGTTACAAATCTCTTCACTAGCTGCATCACCCTCCTTGAAATGGTCTCTTTCGCATCCAGGAGAGATCTAATTATGTCAATGCTCCCATCCTTGATCATACTTGGCATGTGTCCTACTATGTGCTCCTTGGTTTTCTTGCCGGGACGCTTGTTGCTGACTTCACTAAGTTCCTTGAATGTAATCCAAAGGAGTTTGAAGGTGAGGTCCTCTGTAGTGTTAACATGCTGTGTAAGCTCACTGAGGGATTCAATGCTGACATCATCATCCTTATGTCTGTAGTACCCAAACCTAACAAACTGCTCTTTCAAACCGAACTCGTCTTCAATCTCTACATCTGAGCCAATCAACAATTCCTCCTCCATCGACTCCTGCTGAGCCCTGGAATGAACCTTTTTCTAGACTTTTCTGAACTAGAAAAGCAGAGAGAGAAGGCGATGTATGTTAGGCACAAAACAAAAAGGGTAAATATTACTTTCGGGTAATGAGGAAAGGAAAAGAAGACTCACATTCTTGGTCTTTTGTTTGCCATTTGCCTTTTCTGTCTGTTTCTTCTTCTCCTTCTCCTGTGTATAATGTACAACTGTTTTGTTAGAGACTGATTCATGATGGGGGAGAGAGCAACATACATGAGCACTCACAATTTTGTCTGAAGTAGCAGAAGACCCATCTTTTGCACTCAAAACAAGAGACGACAAGGTGAAGTTAGTGAATCCAGGCCACTACATTAGTCGAGAATATGTCCCCCCCCCTTAACTCACAGTGGCATTGGACACCTTTCGAAGTTTCTTTAAAGCTTTGGCGGTAGCTTCTTGTAAGAGCTGCTGTGTTTGCGCCTGACTGTCTGTCCCTTTGTCTGTTTCCAGTGTATGCACTCGCCCTCAGGTCCCCTTCTAGTCACTGTGCAAGAATTCAATCTGCTTTTCTGCAGCGGATAAGCGACTGGAAAGGGTCAGCACTGAATCTTGGATAGCTTTGATGCCACTATTGATCTCTTCCAAGGTCACCTACATGTCGAAAAGAAGGCAATGTAATTTTTGGTCATTAGACGAAAGAGGAAAGCAAAATACCATACCTTGTCAGACGGGCCAGGGCCTCCATGATGGTTGATGTAGCTGTCACATCTGAACAGAGCAGGGTCCTGCTCCCTGAACAGGCTTGACTGGAATTGCTGAGGTGGTGGACAGGTAGTACTAGAGAAGATCAGGGACTGACTGGCTTGCTTCTGGTGCATGTCCCGCCTGCCTATGGCTGTGTACTTATCCTGGTCTACACGCCGCTGGACTGGGAGGGGAGAAGGATCATAGCATCGTTAGAATGGGGGCTGTCAACAAAAGACATCAACGCAACATGTATATTACCAAGGCCCACATTGCCTTGTTCCATGAGGGCAATGGATTCTTTGTCGGTAATAAGCTCCGGAAGGGTTACCGGTGAATGGTATGAACTCAGAGAAATCGTTACTGCTGGGGGGTATGATCTCTCGAGTGGGCGGGGCAGCTTGCAAATTCTCATGGCGGGATGTGTCGGAGCAAATGGTGCTTGCGTTTGAAGCGGCACAGCAAATATCCGGATCCTCATGCTGGTTAGATAAAGAAATCTTGGTAGAAGAGCTGCTGCTAGAGGAACTGGAAGAGAAAGCTGATGTGGAGGGCGTCTTCGTCTGATTTTTAGCTCTTTGAGGAGGCAGTTCTGCACTCTGATGCTCTTCTAGATGCTCTTCTAGATGCACCGCAAGTTGATGCCCGTTCTGAAGCTCTCTTGACCATATCGACTTTACCTTTGACGCCAGCTACGACACTGCATGCTTTGTCTAGATTCCCAATGAAAGGGCCCGAAATCAGGATTTTAAGAATCCAATTAAATTGATCAATTCCAATCCAAAATATAAAATCGAAACCTAAATATAAAACCGAAACCAAATTACTATGGTAAATAACTAGTAAAATCAAGCCGAAACCTAAATATCAAACCGAAACCTAAATATAAAATCGAAACCTAAATATAATATCGAAACCCAAATATAAAGCAGAATTACATGTAAATCATGATTTCGGGCCCTTTCAATGTTGTGGTATGAGAATGCAACGTCGCTGCTCACCCTCCTTCCGCCTAAAAGCTCGCAGCTCCCATCAATCTGGTTCTCGTTCAAGTATAGACGCTTATCCTGGAGTTTCTTGTTGGTTGGCTTGTTGAAGTTCTTGCGAATGGTCTGGAGTGAGTTCTTGACAACCAACTGGTACACTGCATCTCTTGCACCAACGGCAGTGTTGTTTCGGGACTTAATACCAAATTCGGTTGCGAGGGCTTCCACAATTTCTTTCACCGTCTTTTCCTTGTTTCAGTTGAGAATTGGGTAGACCACGCTCCCGTTTTTCACAACATTGTCAATGTCCAAGTCAGGGTCAATTGTCAGCAACCTGACGAGGTCTTCAAACATGTCAACAAGGTCTTTATTTCTGCCTGCCTTGTGGACACCGTTGTTTCTTGCCCTGGCAACTATTTCGCTCTTCCACTGGGAACTGGCGCTCTCTTGAAGTCTGTTCTTCAGGGCGATGAACTCCTTCTTTGTCTCTCTGTTGATGTCGTCGCTGCCGACTCCACTAGGATACCCACCCCAGACTTCTCTGATGTGTTGGGTCACTGTACTATCTGGGACATCTTTCCTGGACAAGGGAATACTCACTCTGTTCAACAACAGCACGTCCGATCCTCCAAGCTTTGACTTGGCCCAATCGGAAGCTGGTGCCGGATTCTTCTGGCGGAGGCTGGCCGCAGCTAACACCATGGTGACAATAAAAAGCACAAAGAGGACAGAAAAAAAAGAGATGTGGTTTTCGCAGCAATGACTTTTTTTGGCTTGGGGGTAACTGCACCAAGTTGGACTGGCAGCTAATTTCCTGTTACGCCTCTATGTGAAGGAGTGGCCGGCTCGCCATTCGAATTTTAATCATCATTGTGTTGCCGCCATTTCCCAAGAACCAAGTCTCGGCTTACTTGGTGAAACTGCGTCACATTTTCTCCTGATCACAAAGTAAATCCGAGAGAGAGAGAGAGAAGCGAGAGTGTTCTCTGCTGATAGCGATGAGTGGGAATCCACGTGAACTCCCATTGTGGTGCGAAGCAGCTGTGCTGGTTTAGCCAGGTGGAAGAATCGCTGTGACATCTGTATACTCCAACAGTAAGGTCAGCAGTGCAGCCATCTGGCAATACAGAAATAGCTGAGGAACTCTATATACCCAAGGATGATGCAGTTCTTCAGCCAAGACCAATATAGAAAGCTAGCTTGCCAGCACCAGCCAAATGAGATGCAAGAGAGAGCCAAAGCTGCATGGCTGAGTGCTGCCGAGGATTTGTGTTCAGTTGATTTTAGCATAGTTTAAAGAAGAAGAAGTAATGAAAGGATAGTTGACCAGATACAGCCTCAGTAGCACTAGTTTCCCCACAGTCGAAGCCTTCCTGTGTGGATTGTGCCAAGGCAAAGAGTAAGTTGTTCAATCATTGCTGTGGAGATTGAATAACAGTGGCAGCCAGCTTTGTGGCCGGCCCATTCCCAAGTGCCAGTGGAAGGAGGATCTCCACCAATAGAGTTCTCCATTCCCAGCTCTTGTGCATCTACCCTGACTGGATCTCATCGGATTAACATTGTCGCAGATTGCACGCACAAGAGTGGCTCGCAGTGTGGAAATCGAGGACGAAGAGCGAAGAGGAGTCGAAGAATCAGCCGATAGAGACCTGTCGACAGATCGACGACCAAAAACTGGAATCGCGACCGATTGAGCCCAAACCAAGACGGTCTCCTACCAACCTGGACCTTCTCTACAAGATTGTCCAGCCAGTTCCTTGTTAATCGGCATCAGTCAGTCGGCCGACGGCATTTCCTGTTGGTAGCGCCATTGTCGAACTTTTTCGTACGGAAATCCCCAGTCGTGCCTCCGGAGGATACTGCGTGAAAGGGAACCGGTACTCACACGGTACTCACAAGACACCGTACCTCTGTTCCGAAAGCAAGCCGACACATCGCGCGACCAACGTCCTCACAATTTCGTGAATATTCAGAACTCCGTGGGAAGATACGGATCGATCCACTGTTACGAGTGACTTCCAAGGGTAACTCGCAACACCACGAGAGCACCGTACGGCCATTTCAAAGAAATCCAAGGGTATCAGTGTGTCAAGCAGCCTCTGTTTAGTCATTGACTGGCAGTGCAAGACCTCAAGTCTACATTTGGATTTTTCGTGGCAGTTCTTGTTCAACACCTCTACACACTCAGCCAGCACAACAGCGGTCATCATGGGTACCAGTAAAAGCAAGAGGAGGAAGAAGCAGCAGCAGCAGCGCCAACAGCAGCAGCTGCAGCAACAGCAACAGCAACAGCAACAGACACCACCACAGGATGTGGCAACACCGTCGGCAACAAATACACCACTGGTGCCACCACCACCACCACCACCACCAGCACCACCAGCAACACCACCAGGTAGCACTGAACCACCACCATCCACTCCTGTCAAGTCACCAGTGGATCCACCCTCAGTCCACCGGCTACCTGTGGTTCCCCCACCATCTTACCAACTCAGTGGATCATCTGTTGCATCCTCCAACCTTGCCAAGCATGATACCACCATGATTAGCCAACAGCTAGCACAACTGGTGGAGGCATTGCACCAACAGAAGGAGGAGACCATGGAGCGCCAGGCTGCTTTTGAGGCCAGGCTATCCCAACAACAACAGGACATCAACCAGTCTAGTGTCTCCATCCATGGCTTGGTCCACACCTTGATGGACCAAACCAACAAGCAACTTGGCCTCATGGGTATTGGAGGGATCAGTCCTATTCCTTCCAATGCATCCTCTTCATTGGATCACCATCCTAATGGTTTACTGCCCATGCGACAAGGTGTGGAAGGGACCACTGGTTCTATAGCACAGTCTCAAGGCAGTTCAGAACCAATTGGTTTGGGTTCAGGATTGATGAGTGATGTTGAGGACCATCTTGGTCCATCCCCTCAGCCCCAAGTGGATATAGATGTTGCCATCCCACCTTGTGGAGATGAAGTCATTGACCATTTGAGGGCCCTCAAGGAGGAGGATAAGACTACAAAGACTACTTCAACCCAACCAACACCAACACATGGCAGCAGTATACCTTCAACATTCTCCCTGCCTTACACCCCTGTACCACCGGTGTCATCCAACCACGCCCCAACTCAACCTGTTCAACCTGTTAGCAGCACAGCCATCTTCCAATACCCCAAACGGTACCACAGATCTGGAGACGACAACCGGTTCTACAGACAGCCAGATCTCATCTTTCCAGAGGCATTGCCCCACAGGCAGGAAACACACTACTCAGGAAGATGGATCATCAACCCTGACATGCGGAAGGTATGGGTACGCTATGATAGGGCATTGAGTGCTGATGAACTCCCTGCCAATGTGCCAACCAACCCTGCACATTGGGTCAACAGAAGGTATCCTGACGGTTTATTCTTCACTGACCAAGGGGAGTGGATCATCTCTGATGTAAGGGATAGGTTCTTCAACCATGATCAGCCACCCACCCACACACCAGTCACCACAGGCCTCACTCCCACCACAGCCTACACCTCACCTGGATACCAGACCGTGCCCATGGAGGAGCCATCCAAGCAGGTAGACAGTGATATCGTAAGGCCCAGGTCCAAACCATCTCTCTTCTCCAATCTAGAAGGGACATCTCCCATGGACAAGGTAACTCAAGGCAGGATTCCAGACAGATTTGGTGATCCTGGAGACCCTGGTGGCTCCGGGTACCATGGTGGTGGTGGCAACCACAGAGGCTTTAGCAGAAAGGGCAGGTATGGTGGTTCCATAGGAGGAGGACCCCCTGGAGACCCTTGGGATCCCGATGGCGGTGGTGACCCTCCAGCTGGCCCTGGGGGAGGTGGAGGAGGAGACGGTCCCAGACGCAAGTTGTTCCATGCTAAACCAGATGCCAATTGCACTACGCTAAAAGCTAGTGTAAAGATCTTTCGAGTGTTTTGAGTTTGAGAGAATGAAAGTTATGGAGAGAGATTAGAAAGCTATGAAAAACTAATCAACGAGAGAGATCATCATCAAGGGATCGTAGATCTGGCTTCCCGCGGGAGACTATAAAGTGTGATAGAGTAGGTTGCGGTAGTAATCCTACGTCTCTCCACAATCCTAAAACGGAACGCGTGGAAGGTTTGTCTAGCCTGGATCTAGTAGCGTGGAAGTACTCCACGCTGGCTAAATATCTAGAGCGATGTTTCATCATCGACCTAGTATGACTAGCGCGGTCATTGAGAACCCTGTCTCAAATGACTATTCACGAGAGACTCAGTCATGAGTCGAACTCAAACCCTATCTAGGATCGAGTCGCGAATAAGGCTAAGAGCCGTGTATTGCACAATGCGTACCCCACCCTCAAGTCTAACAAGGACTTCGACCAATGGTACAGCGTGTTTATAACAACGGCTAGGGCACAGGGATTCTATGCTCTCTTTGACTCCAATTATGTGCCATTGGACCAGGAGTCCGCTTCTGAGCTCCGTAGGATGAACGAATGGTTCTATGCGGTCCTGCAGAAAATCATCAAGACAACCAAGGGCTAGGTGATAGTCAAGGAACATTTTCATGATTGTGACTGCTTTCATATCCTACATGCATTGATCCAGGATGCCCACACCTCTGTGGAAGGTACTCTGGAGTCCATGGAGACCCTCAACTGGCTCACCAGGGTTAAGTACTCCACAACCAAGGGTTCTGCAGTGGAGTTCATCATCCACTATGATGAGGTTCTCACACGGTACAATGACTCCAAGACCAACGCGCAGGATAAACTCAGTGATAGTATCCAGAAACTGTTCCTGCAGCAGGCGTTCATCGACATCAAGGTCCTCAATGACATCAGCGCCAGAGAACAGGAGAACATGTGCAGTAACGGTGCCCACATGTCCTATTCATATGAGAAATACAAGGAGGTCCTAACCAACGCTGCTACCAGATTTGATGTCAACCACAAGCTTCTACCCCCTGGTAGATCTCGCAGAGCCAACATGACTATGATCGACGAGTCTGAGGGTGAAGTCGAGCAACCTGATGGCATGGATAGCCCAACAGATGACCCCACTCATCTCCAAGCGTTTGCGGCCATGAGGGACCCCTCTGTCCGGCTCCCAGACCAACATTGGACCCAACTTTCCAATACGGGCAAGAAGAATTGGCATCAATTTGATGACCACGACAAGAAAGTACTGATGGCATCCCAGCCGCCAGCACCCGCCGGTCGCCAAGCCAACGTTGCCAACAGCACAATGGAACCCCACAGTGAAGCTGACCTTGCAGTCGGGGACACACCAGGGCTATCATTGGACGTAAACCAGGCAGATACGACACCTTCAGTTGGCAAACCTGCGGCTTCCCCATCACATTCGGCACCCCAGGCGAAGGCAAATGACAAACACCCTGGGGATGTCTGTCGAATGATGTCAAACAACACAGGCAAACGGCAAGGTTACACCGTCTCGTTCAGCCCTGATACCGGTTCTGCCTCACCATCTGCCTTTGCCAAGGCCACGGGTGATGACATCGACCGCTTCGGCCGGGAGCGGTTACCCAAAGCTTCGGCTGCAGCACAGTGATGATCCGTCCATTGGGGCCATATCCGTTATAAAGATTTTTTTTTTTTCACGGGTGATGACATCGACACCAAGTTACAGGCCTAGTGGTCCTCTAGTCAGATGCCTGTACGTCGGCCTGAACCTGAGCCGGAGCCGGATTTTTGAAGGGGCGATCTGTTTATGTGCTGAACAGGTCCAGCCCCAGGAAACCAGGCACCACCCATGCTCGCGGGGTAGCATGCCACCTATCTTCGGAGGGGCTACCTTCCGCGGCAATTGGCAAGGAACGACCAGTTACTGTGCTGGACCGGTCGTCTCCAGGGCATTCCAGCACACCCGGTTCTGTGATCTACACTGTTTCCAAACATTCCTGGTCCACGCTCATGTGGCGAGCCCTCATGGACCGAGGAGCCAATGGCTGCATCCTTGGCAAGGATGTCAGGGTTATTCACCGCTACGGTCAATTCATTGATCTCAGTGGCATTGATGACCATACAGTTCAGAACCTCCAGCTTGCCACGGCAGCTGCTTACATCCTCACAGACCATGGTCCCATCATTGGTCTGATACACCAGGGTGCTGCCATGTCCCATGGGAAAACCATTCTCTCCCCAGGTCAGTTGGAGCATTTCGGGTGCCGTGTCCATGACAAGGCCCTGACTGTCACCGGGCTCGACCCCTACTTTGTGACCCCCAATGGTTTCAGGGTGCCCATGGCCATCCAGTCCGGGCTACCCTATGTCCAACTGCGGCCACCTACTGACCAGGAGCTCAGTGACAGTAGTATCCCCCATGTGGACCTCACCAGTCCTCATGCCTGGGATCCCTCCTGTCTTGACTCTGTCCCTGCGGATGACTGGTTCCTTCAGCAGGACAACACCCTCTACGATGATGGGGAGTTCCCACTGGACCCTCTTGGGCGACTTCGAGTGTTTGATGACGACTTCGTTGACCACTCTGACCGCCAGAACCAGTCCATTGATCGTCGTGGCATTATGGAAGCCATGGCACACATCATCTCAGACGAGATTGACCTTCCCCCCCTCATGGAACGAGCATCCCACGGTTATGACTCCGACTCTTCGGATGACAGTGACGGTTATGCTTCTGATCCTGATACTCCATGGCAATGCCATGTACAAACCCGGGCCCAACGCCGGCGCCGGCGCTACCCCCCTCCCACCCCTTTGGCAGCCCCTTTGTTATCAGGTGCTGGGGAGGATTGTTCAGGACCACCTTCAACACAAGCTAAGCCAAAGGTTGAGACTGTATCAGATGACGAGGACACGGAACCACTTCGGTCCAACAACAAGGCCAAACACCACACCGGTCTTGAGTTCCCACCCAAGTCCAAGAAGATCAAGACTCAGAGCACAGCCAAACTCAGGAGGTTCTTCCCAGGAGTTACCGATGAGACTATCAAGCGAACTCTCGATGCTACCACCCAGTATGGAACCAAGGGCGCCACTCAGGGAAGGACACTTAGAGGTCAGATCGTGTCTCCCAACCCCATCCTGAATATCCCAAGACGACACGAAGACGTAGCCACGGATACAATCTATAGCAGCACGCCAGCTATTGATGATGGATCCACTGCAGCCCAACTTTTCATTGGCAGGACCTCCCACTACAGGACACTTCGCCCCGCTGGAAGCTCTGATGCCAGTTATATCAGGAATCTGATGGATGAGATCAGGAAGCTTGGTGCCATGAACAGGATACGGTCCGACAATGCTAAGGCCCAGTGCAATCAGAGGGTCAAGGATATCTACAGGACCTTTTGCATCGATGACTGGCACTCTGAGGCCTACAAGGGCAACCAAAACTTTGCTGAGTTGGGCTGGAGGGATACGAAAGCAAAGATCCAAACGGTACTGGACACCCGGGATGTCCCCTCTGAGTGCTGGCTCTTGTGTGGACAGTTCATATCCACCCTACAGAACCACATCGCCCTGGAATGCCTTGGTTGGCGCACACCTTTTGAGTGGCTGTTCGGTTTCACACCGGATATCTCAGCCCTTATTCAGTTTGAGTTCTACGAACCTGTATATTACCAGAAGTACGGTGGTTCATTTCCAGAAGATTCTGTTGAGGCGGTGGGTCGGTTTGTCGGTGTAGCGGAGGACGTGGGTCATGGGATGACTTACAAGATATTGACGGAGTCAGGCAAGGTCATATGCAGGGCGGTGGCCAGGACGGCAAGGAAGGGAGCTGAACTCAGCAACTGGAAGGCTGATGGACTAGCCCCGAAACTGGCCCCCAAGCCAAAGCCAATCTCAGGACAGAAGGCCTCCACAAGCGAAGCTGACCTTGTAGTCGGGACCGCTCTGGAGACTGAAGTGATTGAGAAAGGCATCGAGATAGAGTGTTGGAGGTTGTATTACAGACACCTCAATACAAATTAGTCGTTTATCCCAATCTAGTTTATAGGGGATATCTATATCTATTCTCTAGTTACATACATGGGGAGTTTAACTGATCTATATGGTCACCCCCTTCACTATATCCTTTGAAGTTGAATCAATCCCAGAAAACATGGAGAAAGATCACTTCTTGGAAATAGCTTAACAGTAAAACCCTTTTGAACTTTACTAAGCTAGAGTGTTACTAGCAACCAACACTATTTCCAAGAAGATCAACTCGTCGTGATCTCGCCATGGGAATGGCGACGACATCGATATCAAGTCAATCATATATGATCTCAAGCTAAGGTAAAGAGCAACAGGTGTAGCAAACGGCTCAGGCAAAAAGGGCTCTAGCCTCAGCAAGAGAGCTATCCCAACAGCCTAGCAGGAAAAAGGCAACACCACGAAACCGTGAAACGACGGAGCGATTGGTCCTACTGAAGACGACCGAATCATCGCAATCCAAGTAAACCGCCTTGAAGATCATTACTAACTACACCACTCTATTGCTTGAACGAAGCGAATCCATCTAAAGGAACGGCCGAGCTTCCGAAAGCGAACGAATGGAGCAAGGAACTCACACAAGTGAGCAGACGGTGACTCAACACGAAGAACGAGACCAGCCAAGCTCTGGATCAAGGAAGAAAGCTCACAGGAGTGAGCGATCGAATGAAGCCAGGAGTTGCGGCCAAGCTATCTAGCTAGCTGCCACGACGAGTCAAGCATAGGTGAAACACGTATCCAACAAGAACAAGGCTTCCGGTGAGCCGGAACCAGCCAAGGCTAGCTACTGTACGGAGCAGAGGCTACTGTGTGTACGGAGCAGAGGCTACTGTGCGGAGCGCAGCAACCTAGACTGCTACAGTACTACAGAGACGAACCGTGCAAGCCAACAGGAGTGACACGGACTAGTGTCATCCGACAGGTTGTGTCAGAGAGGAACGAGATAACAAGTTCCAACAGCAAGTGGAAGATCTGCCACAGAGGTACTTCCGTGGGAGATCTCCCATCCTCAACAAGAGAGCCATCGAAATAGGCTACTAGAGTTGAGGTGCGACGGAAAATTCTGCCGCACCAAGCCATATCACCAAGCCGACTACTCAGCAAGGACAGGTCCTACGGAAGGACTGTCATACAGGAAGTTGTGCTTTGAACACTAGTGCAACAGGCCCCAAAAGTGCAAGCTGTCGGACGCAACTGGAAACGAGTTGCATCTATCGGCAACAGGCTGAATAAGAGCGAATTTGCGAATTTTGCAATTCCACCAGCCAAGAACAAGACGACCGAAGCGATTGAACGACTGCTACCACTACTGTCAAGAAGAACAACGGCGGCTACTATAGCTAGCAGCTAGCGTAAACAGCACCACCGCATCGATACGGATAGTGGCAACAGGAGTGTCGGCAGAAGAGTGCCAACACGAAGAGAAGAACAAGAAGCAGCCAGCCAGCGATCGAATGACGGCTGCTACTACAACAAGAGGAAACGATCGCTACTACTGTCAACAAGAAAAACAAGAGTCCGCTACTACCGCCATTGTGTCTGTTGCTCGGCAACAGCAGCATCGGCCAGAGCAAGAAGAAGTGCCGACACAGAGCGCAAGATTTTTTGTGAGAAAATCGCTGACAGCAACCAGTTCCACGGAACGGCGAAGAACAAGCCCAGCAGTTCAGCGGCCCCACGAAAGCACAGCCACTGAACGTCACACGAGAAAGGTATCTTTTCTCGAAACGGTATCTTTCCAGGAGTGTACGGAGCCAGATCAAGATCTCTCCGTGCGGTACATCGGCAGTGGGCATCAAGAGGATTTCCCGTGGAGATCCAAGCCCAAGAAAACATACGAAGCTTGCCACCGGTACAGGAGCTATCGGCACGTCGAGTGCAAGCCACCGGTACAGCCCGGAGCATGTTCTAGTAGCGGCACGTCCAGTGCTAGCTACCGGTACCTGAGTTACTGGAGCAGTGCATGCAAGCTATAGGAAGCACAGGAGTGCATCCCCCAGCATTGAATTACTATCTTCTTTGGCGTGTGTATTGAGATTACACTCAGCACCTCCTACCCTTTCATGGAGTGTGTATTGTGGCATCCCAGCCACAGCACCTCCTACTACCAATTTTTGGAATGTGTATTGTGCAACTAATCCACAGCACTTCCTCCTTATGACACAGGCAAACCTGAGGCAACAACAGCCTCCAGGCAACAACAGATACCATTCCAAGTCCATGCCCTTGCTATTTGATCACAGCAAGTGCACAGGAGTGTGAGGGTACCCAAATCCAAAACCTACAATCCTACAAACAAAATCATCATAACATCCGCCTTTATAGGCAATGCCGTAACCATCAATGGCCACAACTACATGGCCAACAACCATCAATGGCTACATCAACAGCCAGCATCGATGGCAACAACAGCCAACAACGGTATCTACCACTACCAAACCGATTACAATGAATCGACCAAACCAAATTCGAATTGCATCTACAATAACGGCAACTGCAACAACAGCAGAACGACAGTGAACGTTGAACCGAGTAGCTACCTACAAGCAAGCCACTCAAGAGTTCACAAGACAAGGAACCAAGCCACAGGATGGCTGGAGCAGACAGAGTTTGACCCAAAAGCGGCAACCTGATCAATAGAAACAACAAGAGGGTGCACACCTCAGCTCCACTGCAACTACTGTACAGAGATTGCAACCAACCTTAGTCTCACACCAACAGAAGTACATGAGTACAACAAATCAAGCCTACCAAAGATACAACTACGGACAACTACAAGTCCTGCCACAGCCATCTCACAGGAGTGTAAGAGCAGTGACATCACCAACCAAAGGATCTACTGACACGTCCAGGTCCAGTGGACCCCATCAAGTTGGAGCATCCACAACTACTACCGAATACTTCCTTACAAGTATCCAAACTTCCAAGGGCTTCCAGCCCCAACTCAAAGTATCATTGTGGCAAGGAACTTCCTCCTAGTTCCAGCTACTACAACAGTTCTCACAAGTGTCGCTATAGCCTGACTTCCCAGTCTCAGCTACGGCAACACCAAAGGACGGTACCAAGTGTACCAATAAGTGGCGGCACAAGTCACCACGAGTGACGACACCAGCAGTCACGAGTCTCACATGAGTATAAACAACCATGACAAGAGGAAACAATAACCACCACTATTGGACTCATTGCAAGCCAGTCGACACGACGACGCAAGACTGGATTGCAAGCCTTCCCAAGGCAGGAGCCTGCTTACCCAGCACAGATAGACACTTTGAGTGCTATCGATTCTCAGGAATCCTAGAGGCACCGCCTCAAGCTCCACAGCAATCCAATTGCATCCAATGTCCAACCCAACGAAGCGAAAATGACCTGTGGTAGCGATTTATGACTATCCAGTTACCAGATTACTAGAAATCAACCACAACAACCACAACAACCAAGTAGTAACACACACAACACTATAGCAACCTCTTTATCAACACCATCATCAGCCTTTTTCGGCTTATCAGGCGTGGAAGCTACCCTAGCTAGCGATCGATAGAAGAACAAGACGATAGCAGCGGAAGCGTCGAAGCGACGGCCGTATCCCATTCGTTCGAACGCCATTGTCGACGCTACCGTTCGACGTGAAGATACCGTTCGAAGATACCGTTCGTTCGAAGCGAGTGTTGCGAACGAAGACTCACCGTTCGATCCTTTCGGTCGATCGTCGTGAGGAGAAGAAGAAAGAAGCAGACGACGCTACCTCTGGAAGCTATCGTTCAAGCGCCATTGTCGTTCATCTGAAGCAAGAAGAAGAGTTGTTCGTTCATTCGAAGCAGCGCCATTGTCGCCGATTCGAAGCTACCGTTTCGGAGCTACAGTTCGAACGACGAAGAGAAGAAGAAGAGAAGACCTCCAAGCGGCATAGCGACAGAAGACCTCTCAAGAAGAAGGGGCTCTCTCAAGTGGAGTGAGAGATAGAGACTTCCAAGTGGGAAGCAGAGGTTTGGACTTGGAATATTGATCCCTCCAGTCTGGATCAATTCCTGCCTCATTGTCACCAAAGAAATCGATTGAGCCAAGGAGAGGGGACGCCTGATCCAAGAGTTTTGGCCTAGACTGCCACAGACTGGGTGTGCAGAGCTCATTCCGTGGAATACAGCCTTACTTGTCTGGGTGTGTACAGTTTGCTGTTGGAATAGGAGCAGAGAAGAAGACCCAACAACTGTTGCTCATCCAAGTGATACCGCAAGAGAAGAAGTAATTGGAGGCGAATATGGCAGGCAATCTTGCAGCCATGAACAACTATCTACAGAATACCATCGGTATTGCCGAACTAGCCACGAGGACAGCATTGAATGATCAAGGATTGGATGCCTTCGTCTCACTCGATACCTTTACCGATGCCGATATCAAGAGCATCTGCGAGAATGTGAGGAAACCAGGTGGTACCATTCCAAATCCAGCCATTGCGGCTGCAGCCACTGATGAAGCTGCCGCAGCAGTTCAGCCCAGAGAAGTTCCCAATCGTGGACGACAGCTGGGATTTGTCTTTGAGAACTTTTTCAAGGGAAGCCCAAAACCGAAGCGCTTCCCCTCTGGATCTGTCACTACAAGAACAACAACACTAATAGCAACACAACCAATCAGTCATACCTATACCATTACACTACCTATTAGCACCATTAGACGCATTGAAACGAAGCGAAAGGACCTCAGGAAGCCTGTTTT